TTTTTTTTTTTTTTTTTTTTTTTTTTTTTTTTAATGTCCGTTTGATAGCCTCTTTGCTCCCTTCCCTATTCCTAAGCATTCAGCCCTCGGTTTCACATCTTGGAAATCAGTAGAACTATACTTCTGTTTGCAGTTTCAGTAAGACAAGAACATGTGATCTCTGTTGTCAGAGAGGTTCTTGCTTATTGCAGTCCCATAAAAACAAGAGAACTTCCCTCCTCAGGATGAGTTTGACTCTGGGTGGACTGTCTCGCTGCATATTTGTGATCTCAGCTGATTTTGGTGGAATAGAGCGTTCTTAAGTTGAAGCAGCGACAAGAGTCATGTTCACAGTTCAGATTTAGCACTTAGTGAGCTTTCATTTGTCTTACCCTCGTATGTTTGAGGCAACATTACAGTCTTTTTAACACAAAACAGATTGCACAAAGCCTCACGGAATTTCTCAGCCACAAAAAAATACATGACTGGGTCAAAGGCACCATTTAGACTCGTGAGGCAGGAAGTGATGCGGTTACTGAGGGCTAGAATACGCTGTGTTTCGCAGGAAGTTTTGGTCCCATTGTAATGGAGAATATAAACATAGCGATTGACATGATAAGGTACAAAGCAAATCAGAAAGATCATCAGGACCATGATGATCATTTTGATAGCTTTTTCCTTCAGGTGTTTCTCAACTCTGTTTCCACTCTTCAGGCTTCGGATGATTAATAAGTAGCAAGTCACTGTAGTAACAAATGGGAAGGTGAATGCCACTGCTAAGGACACAAGGGCATGATGTGATGCCTTTTCTCTGTAGAGCTGCAGGCAGACAGTTGTGTTTTTCATCTCAACTGTCTGCACACTGAGCAACAGAGGTGCCATTGCAACCCCAACTATAACCCATAGAAAGGCACACGCCAAATGGGCATAAAGGGACCTGCGGAGCTTGATGGACTTGACAGGGTGCACAATGGCTAGGAAACGGTCAACGCTGATACACATGAGGAAGTAGATACTGGCATACATGTTGAGGTAAAAAAGGAAGCCAGTGAGTCTGCATGGGATCTCGCCAAATGGCCAGTGATTACCAGAAAAATGGTACACCAGCCGGGTGGGAAGTACCAGCACAAAGGACAGGTCAGCCACAGCAAGATGCATGAGGAAAATGTTGGCAGGTGTGCCTGACTTTTGGTCCCGGATGAAGAGCCAAAGAGCCAGGGCGTTGCCAACAAAAGCCAGGATGAAGTCCAGGAAATAGAAAGTGGCAAAAAGGGCGTTCTCGAGGTGTGTCTCTTTGCCACATTGCTCTGATGTTTCCAAAGAGAAATTGGATTTATTTGAGCAATTGAAGAGTAGGCTTGTGGGATCTGCTGGGCCATTCATTTTTCACCACAGTTTTGAAGACAAAAAAACCAAAACCTGAAAGAATTGAGACAGTATATTACAAAATAGCCTGGTTTTGTGAACGGGGAAAAAAAAAAACATGAACAAAAAAACCACACAAAAAACCACACATGGAAATCAGTGATGTATCCTGTTTACTAATATTGTTGTTTAATACAACAGGTCAGTCTGAGTTTAAACCCTTATCTTAGAATTCTGAATACCTTCTGCTCAGCCAGCTTTTCCAGACCATTAATTCCTGTTGAAGGAACTACTATAAAGAGCTAGCTAGCTGATTATGAGCTTGTCTCCAACCTGTTCTGAGATCAGTTGAATAACAGGGTAGGGAAATGCTTATATGTCTGGTTAACGGAAGAGTGGAAGCGGGTTCGGTATGTCTAGCTAGAAAGTATTTGCTATGTTCAATTTGGAAGCCTGATTCAGGACTGAAGAGCTCCTAATGAGTCAGTTTTTCTGAGCACAGGTATCTGTTGTAAGGTGACCTAGCTTAGAATACCTGTCTTGTTCCTAGAAGAGGTGGAAGACAGGTCAGGTATTGCTGTTATTAAAAAAAACCTCAGGGCTCCTGAAAATCTTTGAGAAGTATTTTAGTCTAAAGTCCTGTATTTAAGGCAAATGCATCTAGTTCCAATATAGGAGGAAATTTTTCAGATGGGTAGCAGCATCTCATTTGAATAGCAAAAAGCAATGAATTGACTCAGAAAAGACTATTAGTAATGCCCATGCTGTCGGTCACTTGCCAAAGTGTCATCCTTCCCTGCAGCTTTCTTCTCCCAGCATAACTCTCTCTCTTCCTCCCTCAAAAGCCTGAACTCCACTGTAGCTTATCCAGGGCCTTTTCCAAGTGTCAGCTTAGTAAAACTCAGCTTAGCTTTGCCAGTCTCTCTCTTGTCTGCAGGGTCCTGAATGGCATCAAGAAAAAGTGATAACATTTTCTGGCACCTACCCATGGCTTCTTTATACATTTCTCATCTGTGGCTATAGGTGGCAGGGAAATGCAGGCAGTCTGAGTTTCCAGCATTGTCCCTGTTTCTTGGATTCCTCAGAGGTGTTACAGTATGTGCCGCAGTACCTCCATTGTGCTCACCATTGCATTTTGTACTGATTGACCATTTCTCTGTAATATTCAATACATCTTTAAATACATCCGTTTTCCTCTACTGAGATTAAAATTTTAAGATGGTTGCTGACATTATTAGACAAAATTTTTAGTCTTGGGCAGAAGCAGTGCTACATGCTGGAATCTTACATCATTAGACAGTTGATCCAAGGCATTATGCAATGTGTCCAGCTTCCCAACAGAACTGATGATTCAGATGTCTAAAAACATTGGTGGTTAATTGAGAAACTGAAATGGGATTAAGAATAGACCAATATATTGGTAAATGTAAACAAAATTCCAAGGTAATTACCATCTTTTGTTTGGCTGCTGTCACTTTCAGGTGGAGAGAAAACTAAAATAGCTAGAGATAAATATGCTGGACCACTTCTGTTTAGTTTGCAGTTGAAGAGACAAAAGGCAACAGAAGGGAGGTTGAATGAAATTCAGAAACTGGTATTTCTTCGTATGGCCACAAAGGGGCCTTCCTACTCCATGCATTGCCTGTATACCCTGCATGTTTATGGCACAAAAAAGACTCCAGGTTTGAGTGTATGGGTACTCACTGCCTACTGCCAGCTGCATGCTTCTTTGTAGTCCTAGAGATGGCAACAAATTATTATCTTGGAACTACTAGAAGTGCATGTGCAAGGAAGACTGTACAGCCCTTTTTTTCCAAGGGACGTTTATAAAAATACATGTGAAATCTTGCTTTCATGTACAAAAGGAAAATTCCCTGTTGCAGTTTTCTGTGTGAATTTCCTGGGTTTGTAGAGGAGCACACAATTTTTGTTTCTAGTGTTTATTTGACCCTTACAAAGTAAAACCTGCAAGTATTTTTGAACACAAGATTTTGAAGTTTGTATGTGATAGTAATGTTGAATGCTCAAATACTTGTCCTCCCTGGATGGAATTAGTTTAAATATGTATCTTTCTGTTGCATACCAAAGGAGAAATACAAGACCATGCCTTTTTACTGGCTGTTAATTTATAATGGTACCTATCACCTGATGTTCTGGGTATGTAGCCTTTTTTGGTTTGGGCACTTTGTTTAAATATGCTTTTCATCTGTGAAGAATGTCATTGGGTGATCTTTAAATACACACCTGTCAGTGATTGGGTGGTCTCATGGCTAAGCATTACTCTATACGTGGTTGTGACACCACTGAGAAAGCAGTAAGTGCTGGCTTGGACCAGCTGAAAAGGCAGAAGCAAGGGCTGTCTAATGGAACAGGCAGGGATGTCTCTTGTCTTAATGATAATGATTTAAATCAGTTCAGGAAGCGAAGCAGGAAGCAGATTTTTTCCCTGTTTACAAGCTAGATACTAGGGGTTTAGCAGCATGATACATTGAACTGATTCTATTTGAGTTGATTTCCTAAGGAGGATCTTTGGGATTCAGATTTAGCTGAGTGTCAGTGCTAGACTTGGAATAGCCAAGACTTAAGAGTTTTGTCCTCACTGATGACAGCGCTGAGTCTGCCATTGCTTTCTATCTGGACATACTTTCACTGCAAAACACTGCGGGGTGGAGTAAAAAGGAGGTCAGAGCTATCTAGAAGTGCAGTATGTCAGTGTCAAGAAGGGAGAGGCTTAGAACTTATGATAAAATTGAAATAGATTCTGTCTTTTCAAATGAGTGCCTTCACAGGAGAGCTGCTGTCACCTAATTTACTTTTTAGAGCAAGGTGAAGGGAGGTATTTTTCATTGCCTGGTCAGAAATCATAGAAAAGGGAAGTGGGCCTCTTTCTTATTTTGCTTAGGTTTTAAATTAGAAGGGAATTTTAATCAAGTTTTTTATTTTTTTTACAATTCTGTTTGGTGACATGAAAACTGTGGTGTAGCACTTGAGTAGGTTAGGAGAAAAGCTGACATGTCGCTAGAATTAATTGTTGATCTTATTTTTAGAATTGATATGTTTTCAACAAAAAATGCTTCGATTTTACAAAAGTAATAGTTCTTTGACAGTGTGTTCTGTAGACAGTGTGGAAAGACCTTTGCTGTTATTTACAGTTCCACTTCTATTTTGCCTGGTTTTATCCCATCAATTTAAAATAAATGTGTTTGATTTTTAGTTTTTTCTTTCTTTTTGGTTTATTATGCTGACAAAAAAGCACTCAAAGTCCTAGAAAGCTTGTTGTACTAGTCTGTATGAATGCTAAGAGCAAACTAGAAACCTTCTCAAATGACCTAGAATGTGTAGTTTGTGCTAAACTATGTGGTGCAAGAGGCTTTGACTCCACAGACAGAAAACTCCTAAGGAGTCTGGCTCATTGTCCCATAATTTCCACTTGGATTGCACTCTTGGTGTTGTGCGAATATTTAGTGATTTATGTATTGCTAAACAGAGCACTATTCTGGAATGAGCCGTTATCCCAGGCCTCCCAGGGCTGAGCTGTAATGGGGATGTCACTGCTCATTTGAAATGCATGCAGACTGACCATATTTTATGCCCTGTTTCTCTTCTGCTCCGAAACAAGCAAGACAACAATCCACAAGGCTGTCAGTGTAGACATAACCTGATTACTCTTTCAGCAGATGTGCTATCTATCGTTAGTGAAACAATTAATAAGCAGAAGAAATATTTAGCTCATCGTAAGTTAGTTACCTGGCTAGTTTGGAGTTTTTGTTATAATGCCCGCTGCAGATAAATTTGAACTATATGTTAGGGTTTGTAGTGGATATTAGAAATTCCTGTTCTTGCTCTCAGCTAGAGCAGTTTCTGGTTTGGGATTATGCTAGTTTGTGGGGTTTTATGATTATGGTTGTAGTGTCTTGTCAAATGGGAATGTCTCCTGTCCTTCACTGAAAGTACTCTTCATTAGAAATAGTTCACTTCTGACTGAAATTATTCTCCTGAAAATCACTCCCTGCTGAGCCTCCCACCCTTCAGCTGAAATACTTGTTTCTTGTGAGCATCAAAGCAGTGTCAGCGAGCACTGGACATACCATACAACTGTCAGTTTTCCTGGCACAAATAGATGTACATTAGGTACAGAAGCTTGAAAACTTTTATGTTTTGGAGGAGTGATGTGAAGAAGAGTGAGGAAATTATTCTTTGAAGTTCAAAAAATGCTGCCTGTTCTTAACATTTCCATTATATTCATCTGCCTCTGTGTGTGTGTCTTTCCCTTTTGCTGACACCAGCTAAAACTAATGCCATTAGGAAAGCTCCTTCATTATTCTGCTAACAGAAGTTTGTCTCTTACCTCTTTACAGTGCAGTCCTATGGGTGGAGTATAGGGTCCTTTTGGGGAAAATCTCAAGGAACTCCTTCTGATGACAGCAAACGAAATAGAAGCAGCAATGGTGAAAACAAGAAGATGATCCAAAAAGAGCACACAGTGGCAGATTTGCTGAGGGTGGAGAGGGGAGCCCCTCTATATAGTGTCCTTCTAGCTCTGATAGCGCATTATCAGCTCAGTCACACAACAGAGCAGGGGAGAGGACACCCCAGCACTGAAGGGCAGTCTTCATCCCAGCTGAGCTCTTGGCACTGGGGTTGCTGCTGCTGTTATAGATATGAATATACTGTATGAATATTCCAGTGTTCATCGTGCTTACTAAAGGCTGCTACTGAACTCGCAGCCGTGAACACAGACTTGTTGGAGTCCCCTGATTATTTTAGGAGGGTGGAGAGAAGCATTGTTTGGGGGAAGTCTGGTATTAATAGACACAACAGGACATTTCAGAATGGGATAATTCCATAATGGTGGGAGTGGGGAGGGGGAGAGGGAGAGGGGCGGCTGCTATGGTAACAGCTTAGCCTGTCCAACACTTCCCTTTGCTTGCAATAGAGGAGGGTCTATGGGACGGCAGAGAGGGTTTGTGAGTAGGGAGGGGTTGATAATGGTTTATCAGTCCAAATGGCTGAAGGCATCTTATTCAGCTGAATGAGAGGGGTCTCTTTCAGGACACTTGCTTCAGGGTCCCTATGTCCTGCCCCGTATAATTACTCTGCATTTGACAGTGCCGAATAAAATTGATGCCTTTATGCTGAGATGAGCACAGCTGCATGTTTCCTTATAATGGGGTGCTGTCTGCTTTTTCTGGACTCCGTCTGGGCAGACAGTAGTTCCAGCCCTGGAAAGAGACACTTGCTGACAGGAGGACTCAGATTTGGAGAGAATAATAATGATACTTAGCACTTAGGCGCCTGCCAGCTGAGGGTCATAAATGTTTGAGGTCTCACAACAACATCTGTGTTGTATTCCTATCCCCATTTTACAGATCTAAGGGTAAGTGATTCATCACAGCAGAATTTTGGAAGGGGGCCTGCAAAGAACCCACTACTTCAGCCATAAATCTACCCTTTCCATTTGAACTTTTCCTTTTGTCTGGTGTCTTTTGAGAATGACCTGTAAATCTCAGCAAGTGTTTCACATAGTGGTATAGTGAAAGGAATTAAGCAGCCTTGTCTGTTTTGTGACAAAGAAACCTACAGAAGTCATTCCTCTGTCATTTTCGTTTTATCATAAATTCTTCCCAGCCTGCAGCATTGCAGCTAGAGGGGTAGGTAATAGGCAAGTAAACTGAACAGCTTCTCCTCAGAGCTCCTAAATATTGGGATAAAACTGGTGGGTTCCATCAGCCTCTACAGAATTTTGTTATGCCTTTGTCCAGGCTTTTCTACCAGAAATCTGGCTTATCTACCTGTTCAGGACTGTACTTGTAATATTTTCTAGAACGTGTGATAGGAACACAGTTACATTTACCACATAAAATTGCAAAATTGCATAGTTCTTTATTTTCTTTAACTTAGGACTAGAAGGAATTTATAGGCAGAAGAGCTAGTAGTCAATGGTATCTTGTTTGTCCTAGGTATTGAAGACTAAGGAATCCAGCCATGGTAAAGGCATTCGAGCAAAGTGCTTTGGTTTAATATTTTTTTATTCTCTCTCCTTGACTCCCTCCCTGTGCTGTAATACCTCTGTTATGGCTGGATCCCATAGTTAGTAACAGAGAGAAGGTGTTGCCACCTTTCCTTGCCCACCTCTCAAAAAGGATCTAGAAGAACTGGAAAGGATACCTAGAAGAATGACAGGATGATATCCCTGAAGGGATATAAATCAGTGAATGTTGGAGGAGTATTCTAAGGAAATACAACTCTGTGACTGCTCTATTAACATATTCTTTTCTCTGCAACTGGTGTGAAAGAGAGGATACTAAACTAAATTATGTTCAGTCTGACCTCAGAAGACGCTTCTTCTGTTACATAAAGTATACGCTACGTTGTTTTAGGAGAAAGAATTTCTTAGTATTTTCTTTTCTTTACTTTGTTCAACTAGGCATCTCTGCAGGCCATGCCACAACCGTGAGAAAGCTAAGGGACTGGGCAAGTACATCTGTCAGAAGTGCCACTTGATAATTGATGAGCAGCCTCTGATGTTTAGGAATGATTCCTACCATCCGGATCACTTCAACTGCACCCACTGTGGGTATGTTCTCGTATTCTAAACTCTGACAAAAAAGGGGAGAGACAAACAGTACAGTGAGCAGTGCAGTCCTTTCCGAGGCCTAAACGTTGCTCCCTTCACATTGTTGAACAAACAGAAATTGTGTGAGGGGAAATAAAAAGAAATTTGGAAAGCCTAAAGAACTTTAGTTTTATTTTGCCATTCCATGTTGTTTTGTCCTAAACTTGAATGATACTATTTTATACTGAAAATGAAAATAATTCCTTGGTATGAACTTACCGGAAAGGCTGTGTGCAGATTACAATAATAGTGTTGTCCAAAGATAGCTGTTGCCAGGCTATTCACAATAGTTTCACTTTGCATTCCTGGATAGTAAAAAAAAAAAAAGATGACTTGGTGAGCTGTGTCAGTCTTCTGGCGCAGTCCATTACCATGCTGATACCTGTCTGACCTGAATTACTTACCATGAAGGCAGTATAACTGGAGCACAGTACTGCCCTAGAATGGGTAACAGTGCTGAAGAATAAAGTAAATGGCTCAGTGATGAGCACTACTAGGATGGTCCTTGTACCTGAGCTACCCTATTCAAAGATAGCTTGAGTCTTTGCATGACACTGTGTTGTTCCCTGTAAGTGCTCCTCATATTTATGCCAGAGTATCTAGCCAAAGACATGATATTTCACGTACGTTCTCTTGTCTGGCAAACTGAGAAAACAATTTTGGAAAAATAAGTTGAAAATAACTGTTTTTCACTAGCTTAATTTAATGTTCTGCATTTATAGCATGAATGTTGCCCAAGTAGGTTAACTTTCAAGTTTAGTCTTCCAAAACTTCATCGCGGGCATTAAAGAGCTTCGCTTGGTGTTCTTACTTCAGGGACATGTTTGTGTTTTCAGGAAGGAGCTGACTGCTGAGGCACGGGAACTGAAGGGAGAACTGTATTGTCTGCCCTGCCATGACAAGATGGGAATCCCCATCTGTGGAGCCTGCCGCAGGCCCATTGAGGGACGAGTGGTCAATGCTCTGGGAAAGCAATGGCATGTCGAGGTGAGGCCTCTCTGAATCTGAAACTTCCTTCAGGAGCCATTTTGGAAGAGGACTAGTGCTAGTTGGAAGCTGTAGACATTTATGTGATCTGTAATATATGAATTCAGACAAAAAACAATTGCTTATGTTTCAGATTCTCTTCACCTTATGTGAGTGAATGCATACAGCAGGGTCATCAGGGTTGCCTAAGAAAGCTATGCTTTCACAACAGTAATAACCTTAATTTTAAAAAGCTTGGCTTGCATTGTAAAGATTCTTGCAGGATATAGTTCACTAAACAGCACTTACTTACTAATAAATTTACGTATTTGCTATGATGTGCTTAGATGTATCCTCTCCAACCCCAGTTAACAGGTTCATAACAGTGGTAGAATTTGTAATGTAGGCAGAGCCAGTGCAATTCTTGCTTTTTAAGTCCCTTCAGCTCATTGTTTCTATAACTTCCAGCTGAGTTGTCACAGCTTGCTCTGAAGTTTTTTAGTGATTTATGGTTTTAGTGATTTAAGCCTTCTAGGGCTTGAACTGAGAGAGATGATGCTGCTCATTTGAACTGCATTCATACCAACCATGTTTTATGTTCCTGTTTCTCTTTTCTGAAACAAGCAGGATAATAGTCTGCAAGTCTATTGGTATAGACACAAGATGATTGCCCTTTCAGCAGGTCTTCTACCTATCTTTCATGCAATTCTTAATTACTATAGTAGACTAAATATTTCTTCTTTTCTTTTACTTCCATAAAGATTTTCCTGTCTGAGTTTCATTAAAGCATTATGGGAAAACAGTTTTAGACTGAAAGACGGTAGATTTAGATGAGATATTAGGAAGAAATTCTTTACTGTGAGGGTGGTGAGGCACTGGAACAGGTTGCCCAGAGAAGCTGTGGATACCCCATCCCTGGAAGTGTTCAGGGCCAGGTTGGATGGGGCTTTGAGCAACCTGGTCTAGTGGAATTGGAACTAGATGATCTTTAAGGTCCCTTCCAACCCAAACCATGCTATGATTCTATGATTAAGTGTCTTGTATTGAGCCATGATTTGTAGCCATGCAAGTTTTTCTCTGGTGATGGAAAAGTCACTTTGCCTGCTACTGAATGTCTTTTTTTTCTTTTACAGCATTTTGTTTGTGCCAAATGTGAGAAGCCATTCTTGGGGCACCGACACTACGAGAAAAAAGGACTGGCTTATTGTGAAACTCACTATAACCAGGTAAATTCTACCATCTATACTGTAGGTACTTGCTCTGACTGGCAAATGCTTTTTTGCATTTTACGTATGCAAAGCTGTGCAGATTTTGCATAATCTGAATTTGTAGAGGCAATGCGATATTAAGAAATTAGTGAGATTTAACAAATAGTTTTTCTTGGTAGATGTGAAAAGTGATGCTGAGAACAGAATAGAAATGTCTTGAGGATACTGATTTTTTCTTTGTGCCATTGACAGAAAAAAACACTGACCACCAGTTGTGATTAAAATCCCTGTAATTCTACTCCAAAACTATTTGTATGGACTTCTTTGATAATTACTTGCTTCCATGGGCCTAAGATAAATGTTGTGTTGTCCAAAGCATGAGAAAAGTATGTTTCAAAAGCCAGTCAACACCTATTTTTTCTGTATGACCCTACTGAGCAGGTATGAGTTTGGCATTTTCTTCTGTCAGATAAATTAGTCTTTCTCTCATAAGAGATAAGTGTTACTGTTTTGAAAGTAGCTCTAGGTTTTGTTTTATTTTGATGTTTATAGTTAAGCATCAGGAGATGTTTGTCTACAGTAAGCATCATACTCTACCGATCCTCTTTTCTCCAAATTGCCACATATACAGGACTTTAAGATCACATAACAGTGGTAGTGTGAGGCATCAACAAAAAAGGTTTTGTAGTATTTAGTGGTATGAGATCCAAAGGAACATAGACTGTTTGGCAAGTGTATGAGAAGTTATTCAGAAGATTTAAATTGGTATATTTGGAGGCTACTTGCAATGTAGAATGGGATTTCTTTGATTGTTAGGATTTAATGTTCACACCAGCTGTGTAATTTGGGGAGCATGAGTAGTCAGTAACATGAGTTCCTGTTCTTATTTCTTTTGCTGTGCAGCTCTTTGGAGATGTCTGCTACAACTGCAGCCACGTGATAGAGGGAGATGGTAAGATTTGTTCTCTCCTTGTTTTGGGTTGCTGTCCTTGTTACATTTGTTAGTGCAGCTGTTGCAGTCCCACGGTTGCAAGGCACCAGTGTTTCTTTTCACATCTGGCCTCATTTGAATTTGAATACAAATCCGAATTCAAATAATCCGGCATTTTCCTCTTATTTTGTGCTTTTGCTTTTGCAGTGGTATCAGCTCTTAACAAGGCCTGGTGTGTGAATTGCTTCTCCTGCTCCACCTGCAACATCAAGCTTACACTGAAGTAAGTCAGTGTTTATATTTTGGACCATATGAGACATTTGCCCCTAAGGCAGGGTATCAGCCTGGGGGAGCTATGAGCCAGTGCCTCTCTGAGGGGTAATATACCTTTCTCTGTGGGAGCAGGTGCTTATAATTCCACTGATTTCAGAACTAAAAAGGAGCTGGGACTCAGAATCCTCTGTAATTTATTTTCCTTCATTAATCTATTCTGTAAGAAGGTTGGGTAAGAGGAGAACTCATTCAGCAGTACAGAGGGAAGGCTCTCTAAACTTCAAGTAACTGCCTGTTCCGAAATACCTGCAGCCTCCATGTCTCCTTAGTCTGGATGCTCCCCTCAATGACAGTGCTTGCAATTGTGTAGACTATTTCAAAAGAAAATATTATGCTAGTTACCTCAAATACGTAGAAGAGGGACAGAAAACAAAGCAATCCTACATTTTTCCTTTCTCAGGTTCAAACCCTTATCCTATTATGCTGGGTTGGCCCCACTGGCCTTGTATATGAAGGAGCTGTAATTCATCTTCAACACAAAGAGGACATTTGAAGTGACACTTCCATTCTACAATAACAGCATTATTATTCTAGACTCTTATATACAAATATATACCAAAATCTTGCTCCTTATTTAACTAGCAATACTAAAGACCCTAATTCCCTGATAAGAACCCCATCTGTGTGCTTACATGACCAGACGAGGAAGTGAGTTGTTTTATACACGCAGTAGAACACAAACAGCAGCATTTACATAGATGCACAGAGCCTTGATTTAGTGAAGCATATAGTTTGCAAATACCATTTTAATAGCCCATTGTTCTTTGTGTTAAAGGAACAAGTTTGTGGAGTTTGACATGAAGCCTGTGTGCAAGAAGTGCTATGAGAAATTCCCCCTGGAGCTGAAGAAACGCCTGAAGAAGTTGTCAGAGCTAGCATCCAAGAAGGCACATCCCAAAGCTCTGGATTTAAACTCTGCTTAACAGGTCTGTCAGTCTGCTGACTGCACTCTTATAGTCATAAGCTGCTGCTCACAGCAGCTGTTGATTACAGAGGCAATTACTAAGAACAGGTGAAACCAAAGATAAGTAGTGCCTTCCCATGCTTCTGGTAATGTAGCTTGCATCTTGGCTATCCCTTTTCTCAAGCAATTATCTATTAACACTGGCAGAAAGAGGAATATGATTTCTGCTTGAGCAGTTTACAGGCTGGCTATTAATTTGCTAATAACAACTTCTTCTGCCTTTGTGGAATTGTACAGTCTTTCCTTCCTCAATTGAACTGTAGTTCTCTCTCCATTCCTCTGTAGTCTAAGGAATTTGGAAACGGTCGTTGAGTATAGGGGTGGAAGAAATGTGTGATTTGCTCTTTTTCAGTTGAAGTATAAAAATTTCTCTTCTTACCCTGGGTGAAGACATTTTTAATTTTTTTAATATGTAGGCAAATCTTCTGAAAGCTGTCACTCTTTGCTACATGCAAAATGTTCTGGTCTTTCTCCAGATTCCT